AGTACAAACTAGTAGCAGATGGCGTTTGCAGTGTGTCATTTGCAGTTGTCACTGCAATGATAAAGCAAACATAAGAAAAGGGGAAGGAAATACTTGTCTTTTCCTCTGTCCTAAGCCATGTTTATGTGTGTGAAGGTGAGTGGGAGGAAATGTCTCTGCATGAATTTGGGCTGTTCTTTTAGTTACTTTTAGAAGATGACATGTAATTGAAATAGAGTTTGTTGCATGTACCTACATGCCATCTCTTAAGTGCTTAGAGCTGGTCGTTCTGACTAGTACAAGCTTAGAGAATCTTTCACAGACATCAGTCAGACCTGGGGGTCTTTAAGAAGAGGCTGGATGCCTACCTGGCTGGACTCATTTGAGTCCCGTTTCTTGTTTTTGGGGTTGTTGTTGTTCTCCCGCCCTGGCGGGGGGTCGGGCTAGAAGATCTGCTAGGTCCCTTCCGACCCTTAATCTATGAAACTATGAAACTATGAAACTATTTGTGGGTCAGTCAGAGGCCCAATGCCATGACCATCTGAAGGCTGGTTGATGGTGCATGCGAGAAGTTGGGGTTCTTAGGAACATTCCTTGGAGGCCATTCACGGTATCACAAAACCATCTTCATACTCTCCAGGTGGCACTAAGGCCCACCTTTGCTGACAGTCGTAGCAGGCAAAAAAACAAAGACTGAGTTAGAGAAGCTGAATTCTGCTTAGCTATAAAAGTAGTCTCCTTTGAGCAGAGTTGAGCTGGGTTATTAGGACAATGTGTAGGGCTTGAACTGGTGCAGCGCCTCTACCCAGAGGTAGAGGCGGCATTGGCAATGGTGTACTGTTACCCATCTGGAGACAGTTACCTGGCTCTTCCAAGCTTGGTTGCGATTGTGACCCAGAGATTCTGCTCCACTCCCAAGTTTAAAGGGAGCTCTCCCATTTCTTGCCAGATCCCTTAAAGTGCTGGGAAGTGAGTAAACAGAATTCAAACTTTATACCTCCTCCATCTTTCCTTTGCATTTCTCTTTTGGTTCTCTTGGTTGCTTCTTGTTTCTCCCCTCCCAGATCTCCCTTCAGACTATTTTCTTTCTGGCATTTTTTTTCCCTTTCTTTTTTTTTAACCTCTCACCAGTATTCCCAGTCTTTTAGTATTTTCCTTTCCTGGCTGCTACTTGCCTTTGTGACACTCTTATCTTCTTTTCCCTTTCCAGTTTCCTACTCTGACTTCTCTAATACCCGTCTCTACCCCCCTGTCCTAGTGCCCATTTCTGTATCTCCTTTTTTCCAGAAATATTACTCTCACTCCTCTCCATGGGTGGATGGATATCATGGCTGTTGTGAGTTTTGTTGATTCCATCTTTGGTCCTGAGCTTTCATTTTATGGAACAACAGTGGCATCCAGTGGCCTTGTCTGTTAATTGCAGATTGATTTCTCCTTTTCTACAATAGAGAAAAAAAATCCTTTTCAATTCTCTTGTTAGATGTGGGTCTGAATCAAAGTGGATAATACATGTTTACCATATTCAGCACTCAACATGCTACTGCCTCCTTGCGTTCACTGGAAACACTACCTCAATGCAAGAATAATATATCCAGGCCTAGAGACTTGTAATCTTAAATACTACATATTTCTTATATTGGCTAGAAGATTAAGCATCAATTACTGCAAATTTGCACAGAAAAAATGGTAACCTGTGAAAAATGGTAACCTGTCTTATGATACACAGAAAAAAAGGAAGGAAAATACTACCTTTTGAAAGCTCACCAGCCCATACTATTTGTTGCTGTCACTGCTTGTTTGATTTGCGTGTCCTCCTTCCTTTTTCTGTCTTATCCTTTCAGATCGTAAATTCTACTGGGACTGTGCATTGCTCTATAGTTGTATAGTGTGTAGCATCATGTCTTTTTCTTTGGTTAACTCTTAGACACAACATAATAAAAGGGATCAATAAAATTATCAGTCTGTCACTGGCTGATCTGTCATTTTCTCCACTCTGGGTGCATCTACACAAGATGCTTTACTGTGAAGTAGCACAGTTTACTGCACAGTAAGCATGTACATCTACACATGCACATGCTTACTGCACAGTAAACCTTGCTAATCATGAGTAAATTTTCTACCTGCCAATGCAAGTAGCAAATTTACTTGCAATTACTAACTGTGCAGTAGAGCGCTTGTAAATGCCTGACTTGCTGCCGGTCAGTCAGCCACCAGTTGGAGGAAGATTGCTCTCTGCCCCTGGAGCTGCCTGCAGCTGGGGCCTGGGCAGGGACTATGTCCCCCTGCCCCCTCAGCAGGAAGCTCCAAGGACCTGTTCTGAGATTGCAGTCGGGGAGTGGGGGCTGGAAGATCCTTATCCCCCAGCCAGAGCTTTGCAGTCTTGGGGCATGGGCTGGGAGATAAGGATCTCCCAGCGCCAGCCCCATGGTTGTGGAGTTAGTGCTGGTAGCTCCCTAGTGGAGGGGACTGGGAAGCCTGTTCCCCTCCCAACTCCATGGAGCTGGGTGAGGAACAGGCTGGGGAGGTTGTTCCCTGTTCAGCTCTGTGGGGAGCTGAGTAGGGAGCTGAGAATGGAACAGGCTCTCTAGCCCTACCCCATGATTGCAGAGCAGGAAACTGTCCCAGTCAGGGGCAGGTCCCAGCCCCATGCCCCAATTAGGCAATTGAGGAGCCTAGCTTGGAAAGAGTTGTAGGGGAGGGGCAGGTCCCAGCCCCTTGCCCTGATCCACTGGTGGGGCAGATAGCAGCAAGCCTCAACTGGATCTGGGCAGGGGGCTGGATCAGTCCCTCCCCTGCAGCTCTTTCCAAGCCCCTGCCCCGATCAGAGAGCCCGGGCTAGGAGCTCCTTACTCCTGAAGCAGGGGGACATTGTCCCTGCCCCAGCCCCAGGGGGCAAAGAGCAATGTCCCAGCTGTTTTCTAGCCTGGTGGTCACTGCTAGCCCCTAGGCTAGCACCCAAGGGGAGCCTAGATATCCCCTGTTGCAGGGCCCCAGGAAGCTAGAGCAGTTTGCTGCCATTAGCAGCAAATCTTCTTCCACATCCCTACATGTGTAGATGCCTGGCTGGCAGCATTTACTTTCGAGTAGTTTTCTTGCAAATAAACTGCTCCTGGATCTAATGCATGTGTAAACACATCCTCTGTGAAGGGCACTGCCTGGTCTGTTTGTGATGGATAACTGAGCATTTGTCACAACTGTACTTCTGCTGAAGGCTTTGCCATCTGATGGGTCTGGTGTTTGGTTTACTTGCTACAGAATCCTGGAAAGTGGATCTGTCCTTTCATCCAAGTTTCATTAATATGCCATGGGTTTTCCTTTCATTGTGATATGGATGAATAGCTCTTGTCCTCCTTTATTTTTTTAAGTGTCAGCTTTAAAGAAGGAAACAGTTGAACATGCAAAGAACTCATCTGAGTTTGAGAGAGAAAAAGATGCCACTCAGAGTTCTCAGTTGTGGGGCTGTGCATTCCTAGGGCTAACGGTAGAATACGTCTTGTTTCATGGGGATTTTTACAGTGAATGGTACTTTTTCTTCTTGCCTGTGTCTCTGTGTTGATGATCACAATTGATGATCAGCTGACTGATTTTCTTTTTCTAACGTTTTGACCACCTTGTACTTTTAGCTTTGGAACAGGTTTCTCTATGTTAAAAGGCAGAAGTAGATCCAGGGCGGTGCGTGGTAGGCCTGTGTGAAGTAGCTAGTATTTGCTTCGGATTTGGATTCAGATTTGGCCGATTCAGGGGACAGCAATTTGATTTGGTGATTCGAATCGCTATCCTGAATCAATTCAGCTGAATCGGATTTGGAGATTCGGCTGCTGCCAAATCAGCGAAATCTCTGAATCGCACAGGGCCCATCCCCCACCTGCTCTCCCAGCTCTGCCCCCCCCAGCTCCCGGCTCTTTAAAAAAAAAGCTGCCGGGTGGGGGGTGATCCCCGCTGCCCCCCATTTCCCCACGCTGCATGGGGAGCTCTGCCATTAGCCTCCCAACCCCAGCCTACTCTCCCAGCCCCCCCTCATAGCTCCCATACCTGGCCCAGATCCCAGCCCTTTAAAAAAATAAAAAATAAAAAAGCCCCAACTCACTGGCTCCTGCCAGGTGGGGGAGCAATCCCTGCTGCCCCATGCCACATGGGGGGCTCTGCCATGAGCCCCCAGAAGCCTTGGGTGAGTGTGGGGGTTTTTTGTTTTTTATTTTTTTTAAAGGGCAAGGAGGTGGGGCAGGTGGGGCAGCCATGGGGGGGGATAAGAGAGTGGGTGGGGTTGGGGGGCTCATTCAGAGCCCCCCCACAGTGAGGGGTAGTGGGGGTTTGCCCCCCTGTCTGGCAGCACCTGCTGAGTCTGGGCTTTTTTT